GGGGGATTTTGTTCCACAAAGATTCTGATCATTCTGATCCCAACACCTGGCCTTGACACTTGACACAGCCTCAACTCCCACCATGCAATTAAAGTCTTTCCGCAAACCACCCCCAACCCCCAGCCTGCATCTTTTTTTGCATTCCCTTCATCTAACCTCAACCCCCAATCCCATTCCACCATCCGTAGCACAGCCCATAGCTCGGCGGCGTCAATCAACAACCTCAACCACACCCACCGAAGAAACATCCACAGCCCATTTGCAGCAACCCCTCTGCACCCACCAGCCCCACACCAACACCTACAGTTCCCACACTACTCCCATGGGCCCCATCGCTACTAGGAGCAAGGACGCTACTAGGGGCTCCTGGCCTTACTAGTAGTAACAAGAAGCTATTAGAAACAAGAAGCTACTAGGAACAAGTGCATCGCTTCTAGTAACAAGTGCCTTACTAGTAGTAACAAGAAGCTATTAGAAACAAGAATTGTAATTCAATTTAAATGAGAATTGGAACAAGGACGCTACTCCCATGGGCCCCATCCGAAAGATATAGAGCCTGTAGCTGATATCCGACAATTCAGAGGAGGAGGCTCGCGCCGTGACGGCGGAACAAATCCTTGGCAGAAAGAAGCGAGCGCCTCGAAGTTCCTTTGCATCAATATATATATATATAGTCTTTTCACTTGACTCACTTGGCTCTTTGCTCTGCTTTGGGCCAATTATGATTTGAGGTCAAAGTCAAAAGCGAACAGTGGAGATGAAAAGTACGAGTACTCTGCAACTGCCCCAGTTCTTGCCAAACAAGAGGAAGCACAACTGGGGCCATGATATCCATACAGAACGATTCTGATACTGTTGTAACACGAGTCATGGCATTGAGCTGCGAGTCCATGTGCCTCGGTCAATGTGCTCAAACTACTATTCGGTAGTAGTCGAATGTGTTGTATTTGTGGAGTCAAATACAACATCACGACGAGTCTGTTTGCAGTCAGGTGAAATGGCACAACTTCAGTGCCGAAAGTGTGCAGTGGGTAAGTTCCTGAGACATCCTGAGACCTGAGCAGCACATGTTTTGGCATAAGACACCAGAGTCAAGAGGCACTTGGCGCTTGAATCATGCGGCCCTTTTCATTCCGCCGCGTGATGCCACCCAGGTACCGCGAGAAATACTGGTGGAGATGGGTCACCTCCGCATGGTACAGCGCGAGGTGCCGAAGAGCTGTGAAGCAACGTGGGGCTTGTACAGGTTGATTATATACTTACATGAACGGACAATGCACCTGTTTGGCTAAAAGTTCTGTTACAGAATAGACTGAATAGACTTGACCAGGACGAGAAGCAAGCAGCTGCCCATGGCCTTGTTGCACGTCCTTTGACACAGCCGCAGGCCGTTTCTGTTTTGTGAACGGAGTGAGTTCAGGCGATTTGAGGTATGAGGAACCAACCCCTAGTAGCTTTATTGTTCCTAATAGCTTCTTGTTACTATATAGTAGTAAGGCCGGGAGCTACTAGTAGCTTCTTGCTCCTAGTAGCGATGCCCTTGTTCCTAGTAGCTTTATTGTTCCTAGTAGTAAGGCCAGGAGCCCCTAGTAGCGTCCTTGCTCCTAGTAGTGATCCTAGAAGCCCCTAGTAGCCCCCCCGAATCTCAAAAAGTCATGGTCTGATTACAGGGATTCAACACCACTTTTTGGCTCACGAACACCGTTCAAAGGATGATGCACCCTCAAAGGATGCCTGTTGAGCACTGCTTAGCTACAAGTGCTCATTGTACACAGGCGCTCTTGGAAATACCTAAAGGACCTAAAGGAGGAACAAAAGCTGACCTGCGAGGCATACAGCATCGAGCCGCAAGCACCAAACAGAATGCATATCAGGCCAATTCTCGTTTATGAACGAAGGTCGTAGAACACCTGTTATGTGATGGCACACCGGTTCAGACAAACATTGGCGATCCTGTGAAAGGCAAATCTGTTCCACACAGCTCGGGGACACCGTTAACACGGCGTTAACGTAGTGTTGGCATGGTGCCAACACGGTACTCGTAGTTCTCTCAAGCTGCTGGCAATCCTTTTCTGCGAAGGTTGGGCACTGTGTTTCAAAACAACCGCATGAACGGGTAGTTTTGGATCTTTGTCCAAATTGTTTGGACCAGTATCACTTTTTGAGTACTACTTTCATGCGCTGGGGTGCATACAAAGTTCTTCAACATTTTTTGCATCGTTTTAAGCAAACTTTCAGTCAGGACTGTGGGCAAAAGACAAGTGCCAAGTGCCAAGCGTGTTTTCTCCGAAAAGGTGTGGGTAGTTGTTTAAGGTACGCTCTGGGTGTTGTTCAACTTGAAACTTGCTTCACTCACGCATTTTTCTGTGTGATGCGTCATCCTTTCACAAGCCATCGTCAGAGTTCTCGTCCGCAAACATTTGCAAGCATGAAGCAACAAAGGATGGCCTATGTTTCGGTGTCTAATTGGCACCTATTAAATATCTCTCTCTCTCTCTCTGTGTGCTGCACCTGTTTTGAGTCAATAAAGCACTGCACTTGATGGCCATGGTAGCAGCAACAATAATTTTATGGGTATTATTGTCGTGTTAATGCTAATGCAAATGCAATTGTTATTCGATTCTCATCGGTATTTTAATTTGAAACAACTTTTCAACAACTGAGTACTGACATGAGTGAAAGGATGTGGCTGCACAGAACAATTTTTGCTCCTTGATTCTAGCGTGCATGTCCTCCAGACGTGCAACACATTCTCGCCAACAGCCTTGTATGAGAAGGAAGAAGGAAGGTAACAGGGACAGGGAGTAACTGAAACTGCTCATGCACCATGGTCGGTTGAGGTCGTATCGGTCATTTACTGGAACTGTGATATTTCAACATCATGGTTTGGGTTTGCCAGTTCAAGATGTGGTTTACCACCTATTTGTGTGCTTGGTTGGAGGTTTTGGAAGCGTGGGTAATGCAGGTCATGTTTCCAGGTGGCATGCAATATCGGTATCCTGCAGCAATTACCCAATTTTTTTTTCATTTGTATTCTAAATGACTTACTGTAATGTATCATAATAATGTATCCCGTAAATAACTTGCATTCAGGGGCTGCGGTGGCAGATTCGCAAAAAGAGCTGGACGGGTTTCGGCGGTCTTGAAACTTCACACTCAACGTCGCCATCTTTAGCTGGAGAATGAACCGAGACACATGTTCCGAATTCCTCCAAATGACACCAACAAGAGAGAAAGATAGGTTGCTGGATTTCGTCTCCATCCTGCAGGCTCAAACTGGCCTGCGCACTAAGACTGGAGCTTCAGTCATCGCCATATTTATCGATCTCCCACACGGCCTTCCATCGCCCAATTGAGGATTCTTTGTCTCATGCAACTATGGATTGTTAATTGCCAATTGCATTCCACTTGCTATCTCTGCCCGGGGAAACTGCATGCAACCATTCTAATGCAAAATGCGCTGCGCCCTTGGTCCCATCGGCAGTTTGCAAAGCGCTACAGTAGTATTTGCCGCAGTCAAAAGTTGCTTTTGATGTTGTTTCTTGTTGCTTTGACGGTGTGTCATGCAAAGTATATTAATATAGTCTCTTCGAAGGGCTGTGCACGATGTACACAAATGATATTCCGGTTGCATTTGAGATTGCAGGTGGAAGAGCACTTAGCAGGCTTTGGACTGGATTCAAATTTGGCATCTCATACAAGGACAGAACGTTTGGCAGTGATCCGTGAGAGAGGGATTACTAATATGAAGACACTTTAGTGATGAGCGCCAAGGGTGCCGCATTATGCCGTACCACTTCCATATCAAACAAGGTCAATTAAACTAGTGATCTAGTGCTGTCGCTTTGGTTGGGATTATGATCTCACCCATCCAGAGTACGTAAGTCTTGGAGACGTTACAGCTTACAAGAAGTCACTCTGTGCTGACCACTGTGTGTGTGTGTGTCACCACCTGTTCCTAAGGTTTTCTTAGCTAATCACTGTGTAGCTGACGTCCACTATGTTTCAGGAATACGACGTATGACTTCTCAATTTGAACAGCAGGGGGGCAGTGAATCTCATTCCATCCACTGCCCAACGAAGACGGTGGTTTGAGATTGTGAAGCGAGAAGGGACGCCTTCTCGTGTACCTGCAGGCCAATTTTTAACTCATCGTTTCACCTGTGTTTAACAATTCTGGTATTCTGACCCAGCATTCGTTCGGTTCTTGCAAGTCAAGGTCTACCATGCAGTGGGTAATGTAATCATCTAGAGTGGGACTTCATACTGATCCTAGCTCTTGCGAGCAACTCTCTAAGTGTGTTTCGCCACAGGGTCCCACTGCGGGCTGTGGTGTGATCCCCGTCAAGGGGCGCAGTGCACGTTCAGACCCACGTTGCGTGGGGGATCCTTCCCTGATCTCTTGGCCTGCATTCCGGAACTTCACCTGACTACCACTGAATTTCGGTACTGCATGCTACCCCTGATTTCACGCCGCAGGGCTTACTGTGATCAAATACTGAAGATGCGTTCAACCATTTCATACTGCTAAGCAATCACTTGTACAGTTCCATCAGGCACGATTTAGGCACGATCGTACGCTCAGATTAGGCCGGTCAATTTTTGCATAGCACGAGACCTTGCCGTCTACTCGTTCCACGACCTCCACGTTGACGCCATGAACTACCAATGGATGGCCCACCCGTCTCCAACAACGAGTGCACCTTCCCCCTATGGAACTATTTCACAGCCAACCTCCTTGGTGAACCCGTTGGCTCCGTATGGTGCAGCTCCCACGATGCAAATTTCAATGCCTCACCTTCAATCACTTCAACCAGTACTATCACATCCACAACATCTACCACTTCAATACACCTCACCCACAACGATGTCACCTCAGCTTCAACCCAATACCCACCAGTTTCAGCCTCCATCCAATTTTCCCCCAGCAGGCTACCCAATGCCATCGACGCCCCACCAACCTGTTTCGGGCTCCTCATGGACTGCCCCTACCCTCATTGTCGCCCCATCGCCATTTTGGCCACCACATCCGCAACATGTTGTGCAACAGGCAGCTTCCGTTGACCCTTCTCAGCACACCCCGACGCAGGCGACGGCCCATCCGTCCATTCCAACATCCACTCCACCAACGACTACTTCAACACCGAACACCACAGCTACCACCATGCCCATGCCCTCACCGGCTCCCCCACCGGGCACCGGCGCCACAGCCACATTGCCAACAAGCGCCACGAATACCTCAGTCTCACCGGCGAACCCCTCCCCACCGGCTGTTGCCCCGAAGTCCCCACACCACACCCACCCCAGCTGCACCCACTACAACCACCACAACCACCTCCACCTCCCGCCACCGCAGCGGCACCACCACCGGCTGTACCAGCACCACAGCACCAACACCACCCAAGGCGACCGTCCGGCAGCGTTCCACTCCAATCACCACTATTTCTACCACGACATCACGATCTCACGCTCCACCCACACGATCTCAGGCTGCGGGTCCAAAACCACGCCCTCCTAACAAACCACAACCTCCCGCAGGCCCACCACCTGTGCATGGCATTTGGGCTCCACCACCATTGACAAGCTACAGTACCCATGCTACACCCAGTACTCAGGCTACTCCACGACCCCGCTCTCGTTCCCCCCGCCGCTCCAACATCCGACTCACTCCCAACCCCCACCATTCGGATGATCGCCCCTCTGGTTCAACCCGTGATCCAGCCACCACCCCAACCTTTAAGGGCGTCCATGTCGCCACCAGTGCCACCGCCACAGAACCACATCGCAGGCCTTACAACCCCTACACTTTAGCAGACCATGACCACGCCAGTCATGTCTACGGCAGGGATACTTTCAATCGCATTTTGCACTACTGCATCATCAGTGCGATCAACTCACGGAACGCAACACTCCTATGCTCCGCTACGTGGCCAGGATCCTCACCACTGCAGGCATCTTTGCAAAGGACTTAGAAGCGCTTGATCAATGGATCCATTCCGACTGGGACGATGCCATCAACGGTTACAAGTCCACTTCATACTTTTCCCTCTACATCCCCCGTCTCCAGCGCAAACAACGAGTCGAACGCATCCCCCATCGCCGTAACCAGACGGATACTCAACATGGTACAGTGCATGTGTTTGCGAGTCACGCCGCTGAGGAAGGCAACCTTTTGAACTTGCTACAATCGGGGCGCTTCAAACCCAGCACCAACCACTCACCTACTGCCCAAGGTTTCTACGCTCAAGGCTACGATTCTACCGGCAAGCTGATCTACGACGCCTGGCGCACAGCTCGAGTCATTGACAAAACTTGTCAAATGCCAAAGAATAGAGCCGGAATCATTCTTCATTGCATGGCATGGGGCACCGGCAAGAAATTCCTTCAGGCTGGCGAACTGGCGAACAAGAAGGAGAAAAGTTGCTTGCAGCCAACCACGGCGTCGTCAAACACGACAAGGGCAAGTGCTATATCATCCACCCGGACAATTGTGTGATCCGTGGCATAGCCTGGGAATGTCAAGCGACGCCCCCTCAGTCTTTTTTGTAATCCTACACCGCCGGCTGAAAAGATCATGCTGCCGATTTGCATGCTTGTTGATCCACTTTGCTGATTTCCCTTTCCACCTTCCAATCCCCCAACACCTCAGAAGAATGATTTTCATTTGGCCTCATGAGTATCCCCATTTTTGCATGAACCACACCGAATGTTCCCCCCCATTACATTGGCCCCTACCCTTGCAGAACTCAGTGTTCGATTTTGGTTTCAATCCCCCCTCGTGTACCACTTCGCTCTTTGCGCCATGGTCATCCGCTCCACGTTGCCCGGTCCCCATCCGCAATGTGACCGTATTGCCCACTGTGTTTCCCATATGGCCTCAACCTTGCGCCTAGCAGCCTCCTCACTGGACGAGATCCATGATCTTCTTCGTGCGCAGCCACCGTTTGCTCTACGAGTCACCCTCCAGTTCTCCATCCATTGACCACCCCACTCGACCCCCCATCCATTTCAGTGGGAACCTGCGACCAATTGCGGCTCCAGCCCAGCTTGGTACCTCCACCAGTGAAGACTCAGTTACTCCTACTCACCCCCATGTCCCTTGCATCCCATCATCCCTGGATGACAGCGACAGTGATTGCTCATCAGCGCCAGCCCCTCCACCACTTGAAGACTGGGACTCATGGGAACCCTGGCAAGAGGAACAACTCATCGATATGAAGACCATGCAACACCAAGCTCCGACCCAGTTGGAACTTTATTGCCAAGAAGCTCCAGTGCACCCCCGCTCAATGCAAGGCCCGACGGGAAGAGATTTTGTCCATTCAAGATACTCTGCAGATTCCTCGCCAGCAGATCGTGTCGAATCCGGCCATCAAGACGACGCACCTGATCCACCCCTGCCGGAAGATCCTCTTATAGGGCTTCTCCTTCTGTCAAGCCCTCGCCATGTCCCTGTATACCTCTCCCACGATTACCCAATAGACTGATCTAGCTTATTTCTTTGAAAATAGTAACTATCTAAGGAATCTATATACTCATTGTTTCGAGTTAAATCAGGTTTGACTATATATCTACAATTGTTTTTTGTTTATATCTTATTTGTAAGATAACTATTTTGTGTAACCGTTGTTCAAAAAATCTATAGATTTTTTTCTACAAAATAGTTACTATTTTTAAAAAAGTGACTATTTTCTAGGTTGTCCATCCATTCTAGGGGTCGAAGTTTCGACGAAACTTCGACCAAACTTCGACGGGCTAAGTTATAGTCAGAAATGAAATTTCGACCAAACTTCGACAGGTGTTTGGTATCGATTTGCAGTGCTTTGAATCAGTGTTTGGGCAGCTTTTTGTGATACATGCTCTTTGGAACTGTCAGAGCAATAGTTTCTTTGTTGCAGTCAGTCATTTGTCTGAGAGATGTGCTCTTGAGAGGTACTTTGAGACAGATACTCGTGAGAGATCATTTTGGGAGATATACCTTTGAGAGATACTTGAGAGTTACTTTTATGAGAGATACTTGAGACTGACTTTTGAGAGAGATATGTTTGAAGAGGTCTTGAGAGACATTTGAGTGAGAGGAGTTGCGTATATGTTCTTTATTTTTGAGAGATACTTGAGACTGACTTTTGAGAGATGTGTTTGAAGAGACCCTGAGAGATACTTGAGTGAGCGCATGATCTTTCCAGCAAACCTTGAGAGAGAGTGTGAGAGACCCTGAGGGATTGTTTTGGGATGTATGTGGACTTTGCGATTGAAGTGTTTGCGATTGATGTATTCCTTTCTATCTGCGATATTCTTTGTGTGACTCAAACGTAGGAGTGTTAGCGTGAAGAGTTTCAATTCGATTTCAATTCGAAGAACATGTCGGGAGCTTTGAGTAAAGCCAAACCTCGACAAGTAGCAGATCCTAGTGTCACTGTGGGTGACTTGATGGAACCACTGGAGTCCTTCTTGGAGACCACTGGGGACAAAAACGTGATGAAACATTTGCAGCCACCACCAAATACATCGTGGAAGACCTCAACTTGGCTGGCAGGATTGGCAACCCTTTTTGAGGACTACCTGAAAGTAGCGCCAAATGCAATCATTTCATCAAAGAAACACAAAACGGCCATCATTCGCCTAGAAGAGAAGCACCGCATCAACTTCAGCAAAAAGAATACAGATGAGTTTGCTGACCTCATCGACGATTTCATCAGGAT